ACCTAACTATGGTAGGTTTGAAATTTCTAGAATTTCGTTTTACTCTCATGGGTTTTTGTTGTGTATATGTACCATATTTAATGGATTCATGAGCCCTTTTAGAAATGTTTATACCTGCTGGATGCCGGGTATAAAACTCGTGAATAATGTATGACTATATTCTCTGTCTCTTGCACACCGGAAAGTTGATTGATGTGTGTAAAGTTGGAGGTTGGGGAAGTAATTACCAGCTATGTAAAAATGCTGTGCCACTGGTTTCATGAATTTCCTTGTTGTGTCTGCTCAATGTCTGCTTAGTCTAACATTACCGGCTCTCCACTTTTTCAAACGAGTTGATTTTGACATTATGAACATTCCATCGTGTATACGTATCTTTTGAACTAGATCCGGTATAATTAGATTTTATATAATGTACGTGATGGGTTCGGTGCTTTTGCTATAACGTCATCTTCAAAGTGTTTTTCGAAAGTCTTGCATCTTGGACAAGAGCAAGGTTTTATGTGGGCAGTAAATTGTGGGTCTACTTTCGCATACACTAACATGTCTTTGAAATTCCTGTTGTAGCAATAACAATTTTAGGTACTTCGGGAAACGCTTTTCTAAGGCACCCATTGCTTCACAGTATTGAATAATACTTACGAAGAATGTCATTTATGTTTTATGGTGCATTTGAGTGCGCCCTAAAAACTGCTGGCGGCTGGTTGAGTTGTGATAAGGTGGTCTTTTAGCTGGTATGTAGTTTACATGCTTCATTGTAGACCTTGTTTGGCGCTTCGTGCGGGTAATTTTCTTCTCCTTATTTTATTTTTAGGTAATATAAGTGGCGAACGTGGTCACCATCGTCGCAACCGATTCTCCTTATGCGCATCGCCAGTCTGACAAATATTACTTGCTTGCAGGGTCGGGCATGATGGCTAGGGTAATCTAGGCTTTGTGGGGTGTCAGTTTTCTTCTAAAGCGTCGTCTTTAACTTGCTTATACTGTTGTGTCAAGGAGTTTCTTTGGTGGACTGGGTTTAGTAAATTTATTACTTGAGTGAAATGTGTAACAGTGATATATGATTGCGTTTAGCGCACTGATGTCGCGTTTCCATTTAAAAAATATGTCAACTGTATAGCGGGGATAGATGCGCGGTCCGATTTCCACTGTCCCATAAAAATGCTAGCTTATGTTGGTGCAAAAGAGGTCCCCTAGTGCCGAAAGTTTGAAGGTAGTGGCAAGAATCTAGTTCAAATAATTGAGGCATCAGAACTACTTTCAGTTACGAGTGGTAAACTTCAGCCTTATATGTTTGTTTGCTTTCTATGAGGGACACTGAAACCGCTTCAATCACTTCAGTGATCGGTATATTTGTATACAAGGAGCAGGCGTCTGGAGTTACGAGAACAGCCTTATCAGAGAGATTTAGTACTTTGTTGTTGGAACCTATTTGGAGAAACGAGGTATATTAAGAACGAAAGTTGAATGGGAAGCTTGTAGATCGTTGGAAGAAGGTAGAATCAGCCTACTTGTTTGTTAGATAATCAGGGTATTGAACAGTGGAAGTGCCTCAGACTGGCTGGCCGACGTTTAGATAGGAGGACCTATCTTATTCAAAGGCACCGTGAAATCCTTTGCCTGTTAGTTTTGAAGGGGTTAGTGCTGACGTCAACTCCTGGTAGTAGCATGTGTCCCTGTTGATAACCGCTGTCTGAAAAGCAAAAAAGAGAAAAACTATAAAGAACACGAGCGCTGTCCTCGCTTCCCTTCAGGTCAAGTGTTAATCATTCAAAATTGTTCTAGGAGAGTGAAAAAAAGAAGAAAATAAGAAATAAAAATGCAAATTTTGTAGCGGTGTGCTGCAAAAGTGGTGGCCGCGTCAAATGCGAAAAAACGAAAAAGCTTAAAGTGAGAGACACATGGTGCGATTCGGCATCCGATGCGGTGCGCGACGCCGCATGCCGCGTACGACGGTTCACGACACATGGGGCGAACAGCCATCAGCGCTCAAGCTCCGCCCACATACGGCCCCCTCAGGTTGCCCGCTCGGAAGACACCATATCCTGTTTATCAGGCGCGAAATAAGAAGCTCAAACAGCCATGCCTTGTTGTCTAATAACATTGCCAACAAAGCTACGCCTTCGCAAGCGACAAACATCGACACAGCCCACATTCAATATTGACTCCGAGTGTAGGCCTAGCAAGGCCGACGTCCTCGGTAGCGGTGCTCTGTTTCCAACGTGAGCTCAATGTCGAGAGCTCCTTTTTACCAACAAGATAAAACTCATGCACTTATATGACGCTTTTACCCGTGCAACTAGTTTAATCGATTGTCTCCATGTAAAAAGCTAAGGTGGGAACTAAGCGGGCCTGTTCGCCGAAACCGCCGGTACCACTGTTTATTTACCTGCGAAATGGGCTTCCATCACGGCTCGACATCTCGTCGTTGGTTCGGAAACCGGCGTTGCCTTGCTGAAAGCGCACACTTCAAGCATCACTTTATTCAACCATGAGTTATTTCACGTCAGAAACAGCCTGTAAAATGTTTTTGATGCTACTGGCAACGGCGATATATAAAAATACAAGGGCGATTGGAGCGGCGAGGAAGAAACTTGCGACGGCGCCCACCTGTGGCACCCCTTGTCACACTCCCGCACTGCCATGTGTCTCTCGCTTAAAAAGCTTCGGAGCCGGCAGACGGTCGCCACGTCCGGCTGACACAAAGGGTTGCTGATGATAGCGGCGAAGCCTGTTCCAGTCCACCGATTAATGGGACGCACAACAAGAAAGCAGTTACAAACAGGGGGAGAAGCAGGTGGCGTACTTTTAAACGCCAAGATGTCGAAGGTAAGCCATACTGGATTGGGTCTGAAGAGCACGTGTTCAATGGGGAAGGTCATTGCCAAAATATGCTTTCAGTATCCTTGGAGGTGGCCCGCTCAACCAAATTTATTAAAGAATTTGGCGGCATGTTGGCTGACGAAAAGAGAAATTGAGAATTCCAAGGAAATTAGCAAGGCAGAGGTAACCCACATACACACAAAAACGGAGAGAGGGGGAGAAAATGTGTGTGGGGGGGAGGGGGCGTAGGTGGAACGTTACGGTAAACAGACGGGAAGAAAAAGAAAGGAGAGAGAGGACAGACGCAAAGAACTTTCTGGGTTGGCATATTCTTAACGATGCGCGGTAGGAATAGTTTTTAAAAGCAAAGAAAGAGGAAACAAAGCAGTGATTTAATGTTCTAGAAAATATAAAACTTTGTAGTTGTATATAGACAAATTTATATCTAAAATTCAAATTGAAGAATTGAAAGACAATACTAATAGTATGATATGCGGGTTAGGAGCGTTTTAATGTAGTATCGGTTATGTCTATTTGAAGGTTGAACGTATTTTGTCTCTGTAAATATTGCCGCAATAATGCTATGGCTTGATTCAAAACTGCCACGTGCTACATTGATTACTGTTGGATGTAGGGACTTAAATTTCTGTATTAAATATGATTACATGTATTTTTCGCTCGTGGTGACCGGAAATTATTTTGTAGAACGTAAAGCTTTGCTTGGTCAAACTTGTGGTCCTGTTCGTTGATGTGACCGGCCACTGCTTTTGGTAATTTGTGTTTTGTGTCTGCACGGTGGCCGTTCAGTCTTACCTGAATCAGCTGCCCAGTTTCGCCTACATACTGTTTTCTACAGGTGGCACACCCAGGACAGTAGATTATGCTATTTCAAGTGCAGGTGAAGCTCGATGTCATCGATATCGTCGGCAACGCTTCGTGTCAGCCAGATGCGCCCACCGCCTGCCGGCTCCGAAGCTTTAAGATCTTTCATTTCTTCACGTCTGACGTGGCCACCACTTTTGCAGCACACCACTCTAAATTGGCGTTTTTCTTTCTTCTTTTCCTATTTTTCCACTCTGCGAGAACAATTTTCAATCACTACCACCTGACTTGAAGGGAAGCGATGACAGCACTCCCCTGCTTTGTAGTTTTTTTGCTTTTCAGACGGCGATTATCAACAGGGACACGCGCCACCACCAGGAGTTTACGTCAACACTAACCCCTTTAAAACTAACACGGCAAGGATGACATGACGCCTTTGAATAAGATAGGTCCTCCTATCGAAACGTTGGCCAGTCAGTCTGAGGCACTTCCACAGTTCAATACCCTGATTATCCCACCACGTTTTCCCCCCTGTCGGCTTCCATCTATATTTTCGCTTGCTTGTTTTTATCTGGGATTCACTTTCTGGAAAGTGGGATTCACTTTCAAAGTGGGATTCACTTTCTGGAAAGTGTGTTATGGTGTGTTGTACGCAATTGTTGTGTTCATACTCATAGCATACAACAAGCCATAGGATATTTTGTAGCCAGTGAATTAATTCCACCTTCCAAGTGCCGGTTCATAACGCGTAAAAACAAGCAAAACGAGCTGCTTTTACTGTCTTTCGAAAACTCATAAGGTTCCCATCGATAAATTTCTCAGCTCGAAAATCCTAAGCAGGCCTGTAGTATTTGCTACTGGGTACCATAGGTTTACATGGCCAAAGCAATCTTATACTACCAGATAGTCGCCATGCGAATAATCAGATAAACCTTCATATACAAAAAGAGCTTGCTGAGTGACTCGAGCTGTTCGTTTCGGTTTCTTTCTGTTTCAGATCATCGTGTGGAAAAGTAAAAAAAAAAACTATGTAATTGCAGAACAAACAAGACCGAAACGGCACTCAGGCCGACTTAGAGATGTCCGCTGCGCTGCCCAGACTCAGAACGCGGCGTGAAATAGTCAGGAAGTAAAACGACTGGTTGGCGTGCGCGTCGTGACTGGCTGCCAGTATGGCCAGAGCTCAGCAGCGAGAACGTCACTCATAGCGGCAAACACCCGAGATGGAAGCCCCGCGGAGTGAGCGGTTGCCAACAGTGCGTTGGTGCGGCGGATGTTGCCCCGGTGGCGCATATGAATGCAGCCTCTTGATAACTCGCGGCAGCTTATCTCAAAGGCGCCATTCCTTCCGCCATCGAAGCTCGTGAAGAAGAGGCCTCAGCAGGGCTGAACGGCTTCTGACGACAATTGTGTGCAGCACCACATATCAGCTTTGAACGAGTGCTCCCGCCGGTCGTATAGGCCCCATGTTGACCCATGCCTGCACATCTTGGCGGCGCGTCTGTCTTCGGTAAGTCCTGGACACCCAATTGTTCCGGTGAACAATCACTAGCTCAGTCGTAGGGTTGTGTGTACGTGTGTGCTTCGATTCGCCGCAGCGATTGCCGTCAACATGTAGGCCAATCTTGATTGAACAAAGGTGTTTTCCAGAAAACCTTGGCAGCCATGTTGGCGCTGCAGTCACTCGAAAGCAGGGACCATGAGTGATGCGTCCTAACTTAGTGATAATTAAGGCTCCATGTTGTCGCAGTTCTTTTCTTGTAGATACCCAATCCTTTGAAATTTGATGCGTAAATATGCATTAAAAGTGGTCCAATGTTGTCCTATTATTTTATTTCCTATTAAAATGCGTTGAATTGTTGCTGAGAATTCTGCCTTTGCATCCTTTAATTTTCTTCACTTACTTTACATTTATCATCTTACTAATACCACACAGCACTGCATGGTGTAACACATCACTGATGTAACGCTGCACTGCAGTCCTGCCATGGTGGTCTAGTGGCAAAGGCACTCGTCTGCTGACCCGCTGGTCGCAGGATCCAATCTAGGCTACGGCGGCTGCATTTTCGACGGAGCCAAAATGCTGTAGGCTCGTGGGATAAGATTTAGGTGCGCGTTAAAAAACTCAGATGGTCAAAATTTCCGAAGCCCCTCACTACGGCGTCTCTCATAAATATATGATTTGATTGATTTGTGGGGTTTAACGTCCCAAAACCACTATTTGATTATGAGAGACGCCGTAGTGGAGGGCTCCGGAAATTTTGACCACCTGGGGTTCTTTAACGTGCACCCAAATCTGAGTACACGGGCCTACAACATTTCCGCCTCCATCAGAAATGCAGCCGCCACAGCCGGGATTTGAACCCGCGACCTGCGGGTAAGCAGCCGAGTACCTTAGCCACTAGACCACCGTGGCGGGTCTCATAAATATATGGTGGTTCCAGGACGTTAAACGCGATAATAACGTTGCACTGCACTGCTGTGGACTCCTAAAACTGTAATTTTGAGGGGCAGGAGCGGGGCAAGGAGCTTGTTCTCTCCAATCTTCTTGATGAAAATTAAAAGGCGCATAAACATGTTATTCTCAATACTGTGAAATCTTAGAAGCAGGTATATATTATTACGTAAGCATGCATACACAGGGCGTGTATTTTAGACATCTCGAAGGTGTACACGCACAAAAACACATATTCACGAAAGCACATATACTTGAATATGAAGCGCGTTTTTTGTGTTCTGAATTTGAAGCCTGTTTAATAGACACAAGCTTCACACACAGAAAAATGTTTAATAGAGCAATGATTACTGCCACTGAATGTTCTTCACTTTAATCAATGAATGAATATCAGTTACGAAAATGCTCTTTACCATTCAAAAAGCTCTTTTAAAACCGCAGTTAATGGGATAAATTTAAATTGTGAAAACAAAACCGGTAGGTGGACAGAAAACTTTTTGAATTTAACCGAAATCATGAAGCCCTACTTGCAGTCCAGCCAGGATGGTATAAGTAGTGCTACCGTTCAAGTTACGGGAGCGCATCACCACCGCCATTTTCAAACGTTCAGCTTCACGACACCACAGCAGTTGAATTACTAGATTTCTGTTGCACATATAAAAATAACCGCTCTTTGCTCCTAAAATTATGTAACAGCAGCAGAGAACTCGAAGTAAACTGCCTTGTTCTTGAGAGAGGGATTAAAAATGAAACCCCCCAGGCGTTTGGCCGCAGTGCAGACGGAAACAGAAGTTGAAGATGTCCCTAGAATGTCAATGTTATCGATATTATAGCAAAGGAGACCTTTTGCATGTTAAAAGAAGATGCGGAGGAGTCCCACATAATGCTGCATTTGTTTCATTCACGGGTTCATGGATCTCCTCTTTCGAAAGTAGAATATATGTAGGACAGGAAATGACTAACGAGCGCAGAATCAGAATATATACATCTAATCTATTCCTTGATTCATTCCTCATATTCACCAGGAACACAACCAGTGTACAATTATTACAAAGAGGCCGTATTGAAAAATTGAGTTATTGTACAGGCAATGGACAAGTTTTGCCAAACCCCGTGTTCTCTGAATGTATTGCTCATACTTAGAGAAAAGTAGCATGTCCAAGAAGTTAGACTTATCATAGGAAAGCAGAGCTGTCCTCATGAGGTATGCGTTACTTATACGCGACAACAAAAAGCGTTTTACACTTACATGGTTGGGATAGATATACACCATTACATTGCCATCGAAAGAAAAAGTCAGAGGCTTTGCAACATAGTCCTGTTAGCTACGCTGACAAGACACTCTCTTGCCATACCTCTATTTCTCTGTATCTTCTTCCTGTCATCTTTACATACCCCTCCTTATCCCTCGTAGCCGTGAGGCGTGGCCCCACGACGGGACGTGTGAAATAGCATGCTTTTCATTTCTTCCTTTTCCCCGAACCATTTTCTCTCTCTATTTCTCAGCAAGGTAGATAGAGAGCGCATATTGTGCATACTTTATAAATAATAATTATAGATGGTGTGTCAAGTTCTCATAATATGTCACAAATGAACAACCAATCGGAATTTCAACGATATCTCTAAAATTAAAAAAAAACATTACCAAGTCAGGGTCTTTAAAAACACAAGTTCATTAGATGCGGCATCAGACTTCAACCATGGCTTGTGTGTCCTTTAAACTTTTCCTTCTTTTTAATTTATCCGTTTGACTGCACTTTATATTTATGATAATGAGGCAAAGTTAGCGTTTCTACTGTTTTTTTAAGTTGACTTGGTTGAAGGAAGGAACGCGATTTATAAAGGAAAAGACATGACGAATGTCACACCAATAGGTGCTGACCACTGTGGCCTTAATCTATGGACGAGTTGCACTAGACTGCTATTTGCCGCCATGCCGCGGGATCATCGCCAAGAATGGAAGTGTGCGCCAGATATATATATATATATATATATATATATATATATATATATATATATATATATATATATATATATATATATATATATATATATATATATATATATATATATATATATATATATATATATATATATATACGAAAACCGGAGTCACTTAGAATGCACGTGCGCTCGTTGCACGGTTGTTTCTCGTCGATATGAAAACGCATCTTTTCCTTTGCCGACCCGCCAGTCACGTTCTGCGTAGTCAACAAAACTAGCTGCCCAGTGCCTCAATTCCTGGGCACCGATTCTTCGAACCTGCACAATGTTAAATCACGAAGGGTTGCTAAAGACATCTTTCATCTGGGTGATACTTTGATGCCAGGAGCACGGCGAGTGCAGGCACGTCTTCTTCCCGATGTTATGGCTGTCATATGCGAACATGGTGCTTTACCATAGAATCAGAGAAAGCTCGATACAAACGTCTAACACAGCTGGCTTGGTTATGGTTACACAACACTCCAAGCACGCAGCTCTCATCACTGCATCAACAAGAGGTCATCACAAGATAAGCCTCCTGTGTCCCTGACACACACAACAGCATGCCACTGCATCTTGAAACTACGGGGATAATACCGCTTATTCTCTGCGTCGGCGCAATCACAGTGAAGTAGACTCACGTACGAAGCGATTGATTGGAATTGTCGTACGTGAGTCTACTTTGCTGTGCGAGCGCACACACACACACACACACACACACACACACACACACACGCAATCACGCACAGCCTCTCGAAGCATCAAGCCTTTCTAACAATCAAGGATGATGAAGACGGCGCATATATTATTGGTAGAAATGGCCCTCCTTAAGGAGCGCTTTTGTCACCACTCTTCTTGAAGATTCCTATTATGAATGATAGTGAAAGTTCGGCTAGTTGGTGGTTCATACTTGGGAAGTAAGAACAGCACACAAATATAGGCAAGGACAGAGGAAGAGACGACACCGCGCTGAACTCGCAACTATACTCTACTGGAAGATACATGCGCATATATCAAGCATTCCACCCGGTCACGTGGAAAACCAAAGGCGTCGGCGCATCAAAGCAAACAAGATACAAAACCAGCCTAATCATATTGAACATCAACACGTGTGTAAAAACCGAGAAAAAACAAAAACACACCTTCCTACTTGTCAAAAACATACGCAACAGTCCCTAACAAATTAACAATCAATTTAACATGGCAGCGCTGAACACAAGTACCAAACTTCTTGTTCACTAAGGGCCACAGACGGCTCGCTTACACACCTTTCCTCCTCCTTTTCAATGAAGCCTCCATCACTTCTCTAGTGCACTTGTCCCGACGTCCAAACAAAAGTGGCTTTATCTGCCAAAGGTTGGCAGTCACACTCCCTACAATGAGTTGGCAGGCGCAAACCGTCAGCGGCCGTTAAAGAGGTTAAGTGTTCTTTTAGTCTCACGTTAATGCACCGCCCGGTTCGTCCAATGTAACCCACCCCCCTGCATGACAACGGCAACATATATACAACACATGATTTACAGTAAACATATCTCATTTTTTTCTTCCCCGGACAGTATGAGCAAGTCTTTCGTAAACCCGAACTTCTTTTATGCACGCGGGAACAAATGGAGGACAACTTCTTGGGAGCAGACATCACTACACGTATGCCATACCTACTGGCCACATTTTTCAAGCATTGTGAAAACATCTGCACGTAGGGTACCCCAACCGGTTTCTTTTCGTTGTGCACGCGCTCTGTTCCCGTGTGCGTGTCATTTACGCCTTTGACCCACTTGATTAGCTTTTGACCACTCCTCAAGATTTCCGTATCAGGTTAGGCCGCCAACTTCAGCCTCTCGACCTGGCTCATGAAACTTTCTTTCAACGCATGAGTGGATGTTTTCAGGAGCGCACCCCACAGCGCAGCATAAATAATGCGGAACTTAACTATCTTAGAATTGCCTGAGGTGAACGGCAAGATACCCTTTACGGATCCGGGCTTATACCTCCAACACAAATGTTCCTCGTGAAACCCCATTCTAATATCTAGAAACTGAATCTCTCCTTTTTCAGGCAGCTCGTAGGTGAAA